CGAAAGAGCTAAATCTAACGTGCACTCTACATCTAGGAAAATATGTTCCCATCTATCAAGTGGAATTTATGGCAGTTTCACATGCTGTGGATCACCTATAAGATTATCAGGTGTATCAGAAAAAGATTCTGATAGCGCTGGAGAGATGAGCACTTGTAAACAGACTAAACTCATGATGTCAAAATCGTTGGCCAGAAAATCGATAAAAGTGTTTAGCTTTCCGCGAAGCACGCTAAGTTAGCTGACCTCATTGATTACGGGAATTGCTGAGAAAGATACTTGCAGACTATGTCTAGATGAAAAGGAGATAGCGGTGCATATATTGTGCCAATGTCCAGCACTGGCAAGTAGGAGGAAGACTGTCTTGGGACACCATTGGGTTGGTGATGACTTGGCAGGAAACCTCAAGCTAAATGAGCTGCTTGCATTAACAAAAAATGTAGTTATGCGAACGGAAGCCACTCTAGCTTTAATTCAATAACGAGAATCCGAAAATCAAAGGACGAAAAATGACCTAAGTAGTTTCGTAGTCTACTTCAGCTAATCTTTCACTTCAGTGGGGCTACTTGTTGGACGGTAACACAATATATAGGTACAACTGTGCACTATGAAACACATATAATTTTATGTATTGATTTAGTAAACATATTAAGGCTGCAAAAGGTGAATGGATTTTAAATGGATTTTAAATGGATTTTAAGACCTTATATATGCAAAGAACTATTTGATAAAAAAGATATGCACTATGTATGGTCAGCAAGAAATAGTCCGATTACTTAAATAATAAAATTGTTATGAATAAAAAGGCGTGTAATATTTAATATCTTTTGCACATTGCATATATATTGCATTCTCTTATTAAAAGACAATGTAATAAAATTGGACCTTTTTTTTATAGATATGGTACCTTACTGAACCAATTTTGGTACAGAAAAGAATGTTCAAGTGGCAACCGTGACTATGAGTATAATCATAATCATTTCATATAATAATAATAATTATAATGATTATAATAACCTAATAATGATAATGAAATTAATTCATTATATGAAAAATTTTTCAAAAAAATGCTCGTAGTTCTCTATGATGAACGGGTCAATAATATCTATTGGAATAATTGTGATTTTCACTCGATAACATTTTTATCACTACTAAATAAATAAATTAAATTTTGAAATTAGTTAATAATTTATGGAGAACTCAGAAATGCAAATGGTATGCAATTTCCTAAAATATTTTAAGATCTTAATTTCTATAACGAATTTTTTTATAACTACATTTATTGCAATACATTTTTATTATGCAAATTTTATTGTTTGATATTCCAAAAATTGAAATTTTGGTATTCATCAAGGCAAATAACCTTATGCAGTTTTATGTTAATGTTGTAAAATATGTGACAACCATTAAATAAAATACAAGTTTTATTGATAGAAAGTACGAATATTAACAATAGACAATAGCATCGAGTTAGAAATAGCAGGGGTAATAATTTCAGTATTTGAGATTCTGTACCAGGGTTTACCCAAGTGGGTTGCCATAACCAGCCAGACAAGAAGTCGGTTAGGAAATAAAAAGAGATGATTTGCATATTATAGTTCATTGCTTAAATATTCGGTAAATGTTTGTTTAATGACGATGCAGAATAAGTTGTTGACATTGTTGTTGTTAACCTTTCAATATAAGGTAATTTGAAACTAATTTTAAAGTAGAAATAATTAAAAATTAAAATGTTTTTACATTTTAAATTTAACAGAAATCAAAATGAGTCTTTTACTTACGACAATTAACTTGCATCAGAGAAAATGTTCCCAATTTAGTGGATTTATACTCATGGGTATTGTAAAACTTCACAAGAAAGTCAAGAGTTTTGCACATATATACGAGTAAGTATATTTCTATATTTATATAAAGTTATAGGTAAAATAAAGTGTTTTAAAAAATATACAGTACAGGATTTGCAAAATATCAAAACTGATATCTGATAGTCAGAAAATTGTGATAAGGAATACTTTTAATATATTCCATATCTATAGTTATACAAAAACAACATTAAGTCGGCTTGAAACAAATTGGCATCACTTTTAAAAATGGTAAATACTTTTTTTTGACCTATGTTTCCTATTAATTAATGTTGAAGTTCTTTGAGCCAATGCACTTTACTCTTTCTTAATTTTAGCACTTCATCAGACTAAGCAATAATGAACCTCAGAACTGCATACCTCCCCGAGGATCCTGTAACTATTCTTAGATTTGACAACGCGGTGTTGGTAAGTCTGTCAGTTTTCGTTAATAATTTCAGGGCTCTATCCTTTATGTATTTTTTGATGGGATCAATCTTGAGGTCCATGAGGATATCATTCGTCCCAATGTACCATGGTACTTTGAAAAGTCATCTCAACGCTTGACTTTGTTTAATTTCTAGCTGGCGAATAGTAGTGTCCGAAGCTTGTTGTTTATAATATGATATAGAAAAATTTTAAACACTAAAAATTATTTAATTGAAATAAAAGAAAACAAAATAAATATTAGAAGTGCAATGGTTAACACTTTTATCTTGTATATTTAAATTAATTAATTTATTTATGTGTTTAAATTTATTAGTAAATTAAATGCTCATATGATTTTAAAGAATGATTGGAATAAACATTCAAAATGAACTGATTTTTGAATTTGGCTGCACTGAAACTTAAGACTTGAATTTTTTTTGCGAGTAAAACCTAACTCTGAAGATTTTAATTGTATTGTTGTTGCTTCACATGTTTTTTTTTTGTAAGTTGTGAGTATTTTTTTTGCTACTCTGAAAGAAAAAATTACGGCCAGCGTTTGTTAACCGATTTTCTGTTAAGTTAACGTGAAACGCCACTATTATATCTCATGTCGTATAGCTTCCAATAGAATGGACGTGAAACGAGTTGTGAAGATAATGTCTCTATACGGAATTATTTGAATTAAGAAAAGCAGGTATATATTGTTAATATATGTGAGTAGTGAGAACTAATTAATAACATAGTTCAATATCATATACAGTCAAACCTCTCTATAACGAAATCGTTAGTGTCTGCAAAAAACTTCGTTATAGAGAGCAATTCGTTATAGGAAAGTTCGCTATAGAGAGGTTTGACTGTATTTGTTTTAAAAGTATTTATTTTATTTTCTTATAAAGTAAATAGAAAACTCTATAAACTGTGGATGCATTCGGTTGCATTTTCTTTTATCTATTATTTTATTTTTCGATTTACATAATTTTTTTTTCTTTTGAAATAATAATATGTCTTAAAATAACTTTAACAAACTATAAAATTATCTATAAAGTTAATGTATAAGAACACAAGCAGAATTTATTATTTAAATTTATTTAAAAAAAAGTATATATTAATAAATTTTTAATGTGTTTTTACCTTTATTCACATTTTGTTTTATATTTCATGGCTTTATGTTTCTTTTTTTTCTGCAAAAAATTGCTTTAGGCATTTTATGCTTTCATAAATTCTTTTTATTAAATAAGAAACTTAGGCGGCTTATATACACAACAATGGAAATTAAGAATGGCATAAAAAATAATATGCCAGGATATAAAGAATTCATATGAATTTATGGTGTAATCTAGCATACTTTTAGGTGCGCAAGGGAATTCACGCTGAAGTTTAAATACGTGAGGAATAATAGCATGCAGTGTAGTTCGAAGTAAAGCAAGGAAAAACATTTTCAATTTCTCTTTATGGGTGTTAGTTAATTCAAAAGATGTTGTTTTTCTAAATAACTTTTTTTTTTTGATTGATTTTTCTGTTTAAATTTTTTTAAGATATTTTTTTTAAATAAAAATTTTCTTTCTAAAATAATTTTTGTATTTATGTCTTTTATTTAAAATATTTTTATTTTAAAAAATATTAAGAAACTGAAATAAGAAATTAAAAAAAATAATTATAATATCTTTACTTTCATATTACTGTCACTTGTCCTTTTAAAGGTGTTAATTCTTAAACTCACACATAAAATTGCACTCATCTTATTAAAAGTAACCAGCATCATTAATCACAAACATTTCCGCAGAAGTTTACTTTAATCAATTAACAGTAGCAACATTTTTTGCTAAAGTTTTAACGTGTTGTCATTAACTTGGTAGACTACTTTGCGGCGCATAGTAAAAGTGAAAGAGATGTTGGAATGAGTTGAGTGCAATATCAAACAACAAATTACGGTGGCAAATATTTGGGAATAGTTCAAATGTTAGCTAAAACTCAAGCAACACGTAATATATTAACTAGATTATTGCGTGATTTTAGGCGTATTACCTACCTGTGCGGCAGCTTTATATGTATTGAGTATTAAGAAAATATATGAATGACATTAAGAGGAAGTGGGCGTTGTGCAACATTTCATCAAAATAATTGCAACAAATTAACAGAAAGGTTGAAGTAATTAAGATAAAATATTATTTTGAGAAAAATAATATTATTGAAAAAAATAGTGATATAGATATAGAATGTATATATGTCAGATATAGAAAACGTAAAAATATTATTCACATATTTAAAAAAAAAAAGTAATTTACGCAAAATAAGAAACCTCCTAACAGATAAGTGCACTATGCACTATTAATCTAGCAATATTAAGTCGTTCAAGGTTATAATTTTAGACGACTTTGCTGATAAAATTAAATATTTCTTCATACATAAATTAATGCATGAATGAATTAATAAATGCTTATATTTTTTAATATAGTAAACTTGTATTTGCAATTAAATTTATAATTCATATACAAACGTAGAGTAGTTTTCTGGCATAAATAACTTTGGACTGTAATTTATTAAACTATTTCCTGTCTATAGTATTTTTTTGCTCAAATTATATTTAATAATAGTACCAAATACAGTATTTATAATTTTAGTATATTTGATGTGCAAGTAGCAATCAATATATACCATACATATCTTAAAACTTTTACTTAAATAATTGTGATTTTATGAATTGAGTTTTCAACTAATTAGACTGCTTACCTGCATTTCAGGTGGTCCACCTTCATCTCGTATAAGTAGTAAATAACTGTGACCATCTATGAAAACTTCTTTTTTGAATCGTCCACCTTCTGGTGATTCTTCTTGCATATAGGAACCTGTTAAATAACGATGCACCAAAGCTGATTTCCCCGAACTAAGAGAGCCAACAATTCCTAAGCGTAAATCTGGCACTGAACGTGATATAGTCCATTCTTGACTGTTGACGAAGGAATCTGAAATGATAAATAAACACGATTTATAAGAACTGTTGAGAATAGTATATACGTATGTCAAATGTTTAGAATTATGAAATCAATTTACAGGTAACATAAAATATTAATAGTTGTTTATATAAAATAAGAACATTTCTTGCCACAGTTTATGCCTATATATAATCATAAACAAAGACGAAATAGCTAGGTTTTGGATCGGGGTATGAATATTGTTATGTGAACATATATTGATCAGAAACTTCTACACAAAAGATATTCTCTCTTTCACTAAAGAAAAATAACGTTAATTGTATAGCTAGACTTCTGCTTTCGATATAAGAAATTTATTTAGTAATGCTCTCCAATTTTAGTGAATAGAAATTTTATTAAATACAAAATTGTTATATGAGTCTATATGTTTTGTAAATATATATGGAGATTGTATTTTGGCAATTTTTCTTTTAATTTGTTTTTAATATTTTTCTTAAATTTTGCATTTTTGTGGTCTTAAACGAAATATATATACCAAATGGATTGTTTCATTAAGTATTGTTATTTCAATATATAAAATTTTATAAATTATATTCAATTTTAAAAAGTTACCGAACATCTATTAATCGATAATGAAAATAATGCCGAAACAATATCTAAAAAGAAAATTCCACTGCGTTTTGAGAAAGGTATGCTTAATTGTTAAATAAATATTAAAGAATATATTATGAATATGTTCTTTAAAGATTTCAAAATTTATACAAGAACTATTTAACGATCTATTCAATAATAAACGAAGTGCTAATGAATTTATAATATTACATTGAAAGTATTGGAATTCATCTTCGCAATCTCAAATGGTGTAGTCAAAACTATATACTGCCAATTGCCTGTCAACGTCATTCTTTACTTCACTTCGAGACCACTCGAATTCACTATATAGTATTTGTGCCTTTTAGGCCAATGTCAGATGGTTGAATGGTTACAGATTTCAGAGGCTCACATTACTGTAGCAGTCGCTTGCTTGTGGTTGACTAACGTACGGCCATAGTTCGCGGTCCTATCGTAAGTTCGAAATTGGTTTGGAAAATTTGATTCTTTTTTAAATATTGGAAAACCAATACGAACCAATATTCTCTATTGGTTCAACGAAAATAATTTTTTAAAAAGTTGGAGTTTCATCTTTTGGTGCATGAACAACGTTATAATTGTGCAATAATTATTGGTGACGTTACTGAAAAAATGTTATAGATATATCACTTAGTAATACACATCAAGTATTTTAATATATATTCTTAAAATTATTTCTTTTTTTGACTGGCGAGGATGTTAGAGGATGTAAATGAAAATTACCTGATTTCAAAATATTTAAAGAGTTTTAAAGAAAAATGATAATATACATAATATTTTATTATATTTATGGATTTATACCCATATGATTATATAAATTTTATTTAATTAAAAATTTGAAATAATTTTTTTTACATATAATGATTGAAGAAGTATCGAATTTGTTGATAGATGTAATGATATGTAATTTATATGCAAGTCACAATATAATAATTGATAAATTATAGAAAAGCCTAAGAATTATGTTGTTAATGAATTATAAATATTACCACACTGAACCAAAAGAGCCATACAATTGGGTACCAAAAACCAAGACAAGACGAGACATACATAGAAATAAATTTTGTTTCGAAAGAATTTTAGGTCTTCGTAATTTTTTATATTTTTGGCTTTTTTTAAAAGCTTATAAAAAAAACTAATTCACGCCTTTGTTTGACAGCTGTCAAAAGTGACATTTTGGCATGCAAAAATACAGATAAAAATTTATATATAAAGAAAATATAATTTAATGAGAGGTAGAAGCGTTAGAAGAATTTTAAAATTTTGTTTCGAAAGAATGGTATACCTTTGTTTTAATGGTAACAAAAATTTGGAATTTTTGTAAGGACCTATAAATCGCATTCTATACATTTGGCTAATCGAAAACAGCAATAAGTTACTATAGCTATTTAATGTATTTTCTCAGTACATCCAAAGTGACTTACTTGGCTTACTTTAAGCAGACTAAAAATATTTCATTAAAGGGTATTTAAGTAGTTTCGGTTTTGCAGTCATAAGAACAACGCCTAATCTTCATAAAAATAGCTTAATGCAATTCAAATTAGATTTACTTTAACTCTTCTACTATATGAACGTCTTAAACCATACGATATGAACAGCTTTGCTTTATGAATCAAATAAAAAAGCCGGACCCTTTTTCTTTCTTTTTTTTTTCTAAAACTCTATTCTTTTAGAGAATTTTGTGGAACTTGAATTTATCATTTTATAATGAGTACTTTTTGTTGTATGGCCAGTATAGTAGTTACTATAGAAATGTCATAAATCTTAAGAATTCATGCATAAATAAACTTATTCATAACTATTCATGTACTGACCGCATGAAGCTTGTAAAGGAGGTATGTAGGTATGTACCAACATTGTGAGCATGTGATCACAGCTTCATGGAGTGAAGAAGATGTCGCACTTGAATTTAAAATTAAGTTTCAAGCAACTGAAATGCAAAATCTCGGAAACAAGTTTATCTTCATTCCTTCCTTCCTTCCTTCCTACCTTTTTAGCTATGTTACCTCGACTTGGTTTCACTTTTCGTTTTGCACTTCACGCGCAAATTTGTATCTGTAATTAGCCTTTTTCTTTGTTCGGAAATGTCGTATGAACTCAAGGCAGTTTTCTTGTATTGTGCAGAGGAATTAAGAGCAGTAACTATGAAATCACCCAAAGGCATGTGTAATACTGAGGCATGGAATTATGCCAGCAATGTCATTGCCATATCAGGCTGCTTCTGTGACAGTTTGAACTAAATTACAAACTGAGACAATCTCTGAAATCTGTCATCTTCCCTTTCATGTTGCATAATTTAAAAAAAAAAATTCTTAAATAAAAAATATTTTACTTCGTAGCATGCAACAATTGTCAATTCTCAAATTTATGCAACGTTGAAGTGGCCTAGTTAACAGCAATGTTAGGCAAGTAACAGCAGTAACATCAGCAACATCAGCAACATAAGTAAGGACGGATGGACGGAAGGAGTACGATTTACAGAAGGCTGTGTACTTTTCAATATTCCTTTGATTATTCGGTTGGCCTTAGGAGTTTTTAACAAATTTTTGGTCATGAAAACGGTTTTGATTGACAGCAAAACAATTAAGTTGAATTTTGCTTTATTTCCCTTTGCCAATTGCGAGTTGATTTTAAGTGTTGTCAGTTGTTTTCATGGCTGGACACTTTTGAGATTTAAATTTGCAGCTAAAGTTTTTTTTCCAAGTTTCAATTTAATTTAAATTTTTTTCACATTTTAAATGAACTGTATAGAAGCCAGGAATTGTTAAGCAAATTTATTTATTTTCTAATGTTTGCAACTTGCTACTATATGGAGACCACATAAATTTGCAAGGAGCACACATGAGTCGTTAAAAAAAAAATTATAATGGTTAAAGGTCTGCATATGTGAAACGACAGCTGCTTTCAATGATCGATTCAAAATTAATTTAAGCACTAAAGAATTACTTTGTATTCTTGGCAGTGGAAGTTTGAATAATTGATAGTCATGAAGTAATAAAATAATGGAAAATTATAATACAATTATTAATCGATTATAAGGATTATTTCAAATTAATTATTAATTAATTAGAAATTATTAAACGATTAGAATAATTACTTTAAATTAATTATAAATTATTGGTCCTTTGAAAAATACGTCAAATTGATAGATTCCACAAAAACAAATTCTATGATATTTCCTTATACTGTGTGATATAATTAAATTATGATTAATCAGACAACGTTATCTTGAACCGTTGATAAGTATAACAATGAATTGAATGGCAATTGAATAACTCAATCGAACTGCAACTAAACTGAAGGGTGCTTAACATGGATGACATAAGTCAATTGCAACTAATTAAAACAATGTTATTTACAATTAATTATCCTTTGAGGAAAATTTTAAACATATAGATATATAATTTCTTGATAAGACATATACTGGGTGACTCAATGGAACTGCCACTAAATTAATAGATACTACTTGATCACTAACTGAACTAACGTTACACAGGACATAGGAACATCGAAGGGAATGAGAAAGCTGACAGTTTACCGGTTTATATTACCCTAAACACCATAGATACTTCTACTTTCTTCAACTTGGCAATAACAAATGGAAAACACTTAGGTCATGTTAAGTTAACATGATCCACTAATAATAAGAAAAGATCTTGGGAACTCATCAATAGAGATGGCGTGAACACTGCAATACTTACCGCAGTTCTTTCTGGTCATTGGTGTGTATGGACTCATGCAGAAAAACTGCGCATTCCACATTACCCTCACTGCAGAAGTTGTGGAAACCCGCTGGAGAAACAAACCATAATGCATTTTCTATGTGAATGCGCGGTTTTCGTGTGAGAAAGAAATAGTTTTTTAGAAAGATATTTCTTGGACAGTTTATTAGACTGTTTATCGGTGAAGATGAGTGATGTACAATAGTAGTTTGATATTGATTGAAGTTCCATTTGGTCGGCTCTATATACCTTTATTGTTTCAACTCAGACATATTCGATTTAAATACTAAATTAAGTTAGAATTTTTTATTTCAAAGTAGTTTTTTTGACTAGATAAAATAATAGGTAACAATTGCTGGGAACTAAATAGAGCCCAGTTTCATTGATAACGTAAATAGCAATAAGTTGTAAAAAATATTTTAATTAGCAATATTTTTTGTTATATCTTAACTATAATTCTTTTCACTAAGCAGTAGATCTTTAATACAATTTGCATATATAAACATTTTATTTAAGCTTTAATTAAATAATGTCTTATTAGCCACAATTTTCTAGTTAAACAAGTTCAGTATAAATTTATACACGTAGACAGTAATCGGAATAAAGGGAGGAGAGAGTAGTAAGTTTCATAATAACTGTCAAACAATAAACGAAAACAAATAGTTATATGACTCTAAC